TTATTAGACATAGGTAATGAGGGTATAGGAAAGGAAGAGAAGGGCTCAAGAATACACCAAGATTTTTTTTAACAGAGCAGACTGAACAATGAATGGAGGTATTGATAGGAACAGGAGTCAAAAGTAAGAGCACATAGTAACATGAGGAAAAGTAGTGCTTTGGCTTTTTGCTATAATGGGTTGGACCCATTGACAGTGGGACCTTCAAAGCTCACTCCACTGCTGTGCCCTCTGTTTTATAAGTGACCCTGGGCAAGGCATTTCGACTCTATTTTCTCAAAAAATGAATTCAATGGACTCCAAGATTCCTTTTTGTGCTAAATCTATGCTCCTCTCTGACCATCATCCTTCCCACCAAATTGTCATTTCAAAATCCTTCCCATCCCCTGTTCACTTGGAGAGCCAGAATATTAGTTACAAGCCAGGTTCAACCTGAAGTCTTCCCAATGGCCAAGGCTTCCCAATTAAACCCCTTCACTGCATTCACTACATGGTGACCATTGCCTTAGGTTCAGGGCCCATCCCAAGCCCTATTTTACAGTTTTCCCAATGCCACAGATGCATTTCTTTTTCTGTAAATGGTATTTTATTTTTTCCAATTACATATAAAGATACTTTCCAACAATCATTTTTATAAGATTTTGACTTTGAAATTTTTTTCCCTCCCTTCCCTCCCCCCTCTTTGAGATGGCAAGCAATCTGATATAGTTTTACATGTGCAATCATGGAAACATATTTCTACATTAGTCATGTTGAGAAAGGAGAAAGAGAACAAAAAGGAAAAGCCACCAAAAAATTAAAAAAGCAAAAATAGTCTGCTTTGATCTGCATTCAGATTCCATAGTTCTTTCTCTGGATGTGGATGCATTTTCTGCCTTTTGGAATTACCTTGGATCATTGTATTGCTGAGAAGAGCTAAGTCAATCATAGTTGATCATTGCACGGTGTTACTGTTACCCACAGATGCATTTCAAATATAATAACATACAATTTCCATCTCCACAACAGGGGGAGAAGCCTTTTATTTCAGACCCATTCTGGAATTTTTGCTTGAGTGCCCAGAATTTTATGTCTACAACACTATTCAATATCATTTACTTGAAACTTAAACCCTTAAATCCTAAATTAACAAGGTATTCTGGACTTTGCTTATGTAATTGACAGGGAAATATTTCTTTCATCTCTCCCTACTGGTTTTTAGTGTTAATCTAATTAAACCATTAAATAAAAAATTTAAAATGTGCCACATTCATAGTGAGCTTAAACCAAACTCTCACTCATTTCACTTCATAAGAATAAACAGATGAACAAATATCTTTTTCCTAAGCCTTGTTAATTGTAAAATGTCCCTAGAAAACACCTGTCTTCTTTTCCTTTTCAGGGGCTGGCTTCCTAAAGCCAGCTAAAAGTGGCACACTTTAATTTTTTTATTGAATTGTTTACATTAAAACTAAAAGCTGGTGAGTAGGACATGGGCAATGTTCTAGCAAGGGAGCCTTCTTAAAGGAAGCAATCACATAGGTAGGAGGAGAAGGAAGAGAAGACAGTGTCAAAACCCAGTGTGGAGTAGGTATCTGGGGAGAAGGAGTGGTCAACATTGCCTTACCACAGATTTCAGAGATCAGAAAGGATGAGGTCTGAGAAAAGGACATTGGATTTAGCAGTTAAAAATTGCATAGGGTGGGCTTGGGGAGGAGGGAGAGTTACTCTAAAGGGAACAATTTCAGTTAAGTGGTAGAGATGGAAACTAGAATAGACTTTGAGAAATGAGTTGAGAAGAAGTGGAGGCAAGGAAGGTAGATGGCTTTTTTTAAGTCTGGTAGTGAAAGAAAGGAGAGATACAGGATCAGGACTTGAAGGGATGGCAAGATCTAAGGAAGGCTTGTTTGTTTAAAACAGGGGTCCTTAATCTATTTTTGTATCATGGGAACCCTTGCTCAGAATAATGTCTTTAAATGATTGAAGGAGGGGCAGCTGGGTGGCACAGTGGATAGAGCACCGGCCCTGGCTTCAGGAGGACCTGAGTTCAAATCCGGCCTCAGATACGTAACACTTACTAGCTGTGTGACTCTGGGCAAGTCACTTAACCCCATTGCCTAGCCAAAAAAATAAAAAATAAAAAAATAAAAAATAAATGATTGAAGGAAATAATTCTAGCTAGCAGTTTAGTGAAAACAAAGATATATATAAAACTAAGTTCATAGACCCCTGAAATTTCTATATGCTTCCTGCAGGTGATCCATATTAAGAACTCTTGATTTAAATGAGGGTGGCAATCTTGACCTATGTGTAGGAAAGAGGCAAGAAGACATTGGATAAAAAGAGATTGAGGATGGGGCTGGGGGATGGTCAAAGGGGTGAGTTCCTAGAGGGACCAGAGGAGTTGAGATCAAGGACACAAGTGGGAGACGTGGCCTAGACAAGGGGGAGGGCTTCCTCTTCCTCTAAGACTGGAGAGGAAGGAATTGAGGGATAATTTTGAGGGAATGTGAAGTTCAGAATTTGGGAAAAGAGCAAGCTTGCTTGCAATTAATGACCTCTATTTTCTCAGTCAAGTACAAAATGAGTTCTCCATCTGAGGAGGATGGGGAAAAAGTGGTGTAAGTGGCTTAATGAAAGAGGTGGTTTGTAATAGCCATGGTTGGAGAACAACAAAGTAGTCAATTAGAGAAGAATTAAAAGAAATGCTATATGACAGATTACACAGCATAACATTTTGGTAGAACCATTCAATATAATGGTGTGGTGTGTTTAGCAACCACAAATGGGAGCAGATAAGTCAGATGACGGGAGTAACCTGGGATTGGGCGTTATGAGGGGAGTTAGAAAAAGCAGATGAGGCAGATGAAGGACAACTTAAAGTAAAACTGATTAACCATAGAATCAAGATTTCAGAAAGAGGAAAGAAAGTGAAGCCCTGGCTGGTGTGATGGATTGAGGAAGAATGAAGGGGTAGATGGACCAAAGGTCATGGTGAGGATGAAGAAGAGGTTTAAGAGGAATGAGGCAAAAGGAAAGATGGAAGGCTTAAAAGTTCAAGTTTGAGAAAGGAATTTCAGAGTTCATGAATCTTGCAATTGGGATATTCATGGGTTAGATAAAAACTGTGGCCATCACTGTATGTGGCTAGTGTAGAGCAGAAAAGCACTGAGAAAAAGCCTTTGGATTTATCAGTCAAGAGATGCTTGGTAACTTTGAAGAGTGTTGTTTCAGCAAAACTCACTTCCAGCTCAGAGATTCTATGACTCAGTGACCTTCTAGGTCTACATTCTAGGAGCCTGTGGTACAAAAACAAGGGATAATAGAGTTTCTCCATGTGGTTCAGTAATACTACGGGTTTTCCAATATGGATCTATTACAATAGATTCCAATAAATCTCTAAAGGGGTTTAGATTAGTAATTGAAAGAGTTCACATTAATATAACCTTACTTCATGGATAGAAATTGTCAAAATATTTTGGAGCTTCCTTGAGGTGAAATATTCTGCCATTACTGATTCTATCCAATTAAGCCTAAATCAAATTTCCTTATTTTCTTGGCTTCAATTCAATGTAACTCAAATTACTAAATATTGATGTTGTGCAGAAAGTTGTGCCAGTCACTTGAGGCAGGGGTGGAATTTTAGATAAAAACTGATCCCTGCTGTGCCCTGAGTTTCGCATAACAACAATAACCTCGCACCCAGTATGTATATAAGCACTGCCTATACCACAACATGTTAAACCCTCCTATTCAGGAGGACTTCTACTTGCAAGTGTTTTCCTGACTCAGAAACCAATTAAACCAAGACTCGATTCCTGACATGCCTTCCTCTGGCCAGCTCTGTTTTGGCTCCAGCTGTTTCCAGGTTAGAGACCAGTCCATTCTGGACTGCATTCAAAATTCTGTTGACAAGATAGAAAAATACTGCAGTGTTATTGTGCTTGACATAAGGTATCAAGGCTTATTCTTCTGGCCTATGAGTTAATTTCAGCAATACTGCTTGTGCCTGAGCATGGGAAAAATGTATGAAAGTGAACAAACTTGCTAAGCCAAAGTAACACAAATTGCTTGCTTGAAAATATTGAGGTAGGGATTCTCTACAAAGATAGTATTGATTTGAGGATGACTGCATACCAATAAGAATCCCAATTCATCAAGCATGTATTGTTGTTCAGTCATGTCCAATTCTTTGTGACTCTATTTGGGGTTTTCCTGACAATGATTCTGGAGTGCTTTGCCACTTCTTTTTCCACTGGATTAAGTGACTTGTGCACAGTCACACAGCCAATAAGTATCTGAGGCCAGCTTTGAATTCAGGTCCTCCTGCCTCCAGACCCAGCCCTCTATCCACTGAGCCACCCAGCTGCCTCAAGCATGTGTTAGGCCCCTGTTGAATGCAAGGCACAGGGATGAAAGGAACAGCTGTCCCTGATGCCTTAAAGGAACCTGTATTTTATTCAATGAATACAATATTAAATATATTCGGTACAATAATATTTGAAAAGAGGAGTCACAACTGTAAGTAGCCATTGTGAGAATCAGGCAAGAATTCTGGGAGGTGGTGAAACCTGAGTTGAACACTAAAGGATGATAAAGACTAGAGAGATCCTTGTTAATGGAAAGAGTTCAGGACACAGGCAGAAGTGGGTAAATCACATTTGATCTTAAGTAAATCACTTCCCCTCTTAGAACTTGTTTCCTCAGGATGTATGGAAACTACTTTTGTAAATGTTAAAATACTAAATAAGTTACTGTTATCCCCATTTTATGGATGGAGAAACAGACATTTGGTTCTATTTTTTTTCTCTGATAGAGTTCTCTAATGATATGATTTAACTGGTTCTTGACTCTTTGTGATTCATTTCTTTTAAGGTGTCTCCATGAAGAAAATTTCTGACTTACCATGTTTTTGTTTCTGTTTTTCTGTTAACAAAAAGTAAAAGTTGATTAAATGAAAAATCTTAAGTATTTTATGACCAACATGTAGAAAACCCTTTTTTTTTGTCCCCCCCCCACAGGCTTGCATAGCATATGTGAATTTCATGATCTCTGTGGCTAAACTAATCCGCCAGGATAAAGGACTGTCCATCAATGAGACCCAGATTGCCTTGGAAATGAATCGTATCATGGAGTTGGAAAAAGAGATTGCCAACGTAAAGCATCTTGTCTTCATTCCACTGAGTACCATTCAGCTCCATTTCTATGCCTTTCTCCTCCCAAAATTGGTTTTGGTGGAGAAAAGACCAATTCTGTGCTAAGTGGTAGAAAGTCAGGGCTGTATAATGGAAAATGCTCAGCCTTTGAAATGAAAGAATCTACTGCTTTTCAAAACCTCATTGGGCTGTTTTATTCATGCATGGTATTGCTTCAGCAGCAATACCACAGGAGCTTAAAAATGAACCAAATATTGGCAATATTGGGCATTAAAGGGCTGTTTTTCCTTCCTTAATGATTACAGGGATTAGTGGAAAGAAAAAATGTCCTTGGGATTTAGGGTATCTGCTAGGGGAGTCAGAAGTTATTTCATGGGTTTTTTTTGGTTTTCTCTTTCATAAAGTTTTATGTATTTAGTACAAGGTCACTATTGGGACTGACCTTTGCCCTGATAATTAAATTAAATTAAACAAACATTTCTGAAGTACCTTTTATATATGCAAGATACTGTGGTAGGATACAAAAGGGCATATAGAGATGAAAAAGATATGGTCCCTTCCTCAAGAAACTTATGACCTAATGGGGGAAGTGGGTAAAGCTAGATGTAAATTAGGGTGGCTCTTATCATAATGTACGTTAAGAAGATTTGGAGAGGGAGAATCCATTTTCAGCCAGAAGGAATCAAGGAAGACTTTTATTAGAGGTGTCACCTACAGGAAAATAATATACCAGATATTCCCTGGAATCCCTCCTATTTCTCACATTCTGTGATACCATGTAGAAAGCAGGAGTGAATGTGTCCCATGCATGGGAAGTGCCTTGCATGAATGCATGAATGCCCAAAATGGCTCTGGGAACAGTGTGTGGTCCAATCTGGCCAGAATGTAAAGTGTGTAAAAGGGAGTGATGTAGACAAAATAGGAGAAGCAAATTGGATCCACATTGTAAAAAGCTTTGAGGAGTGGTCATTTCTGGATAACTTCTGTCTAAAGACTTTTTTTTCCTAAAGAATTCCTGAAATAACTATAAAATCTTCCTAGACCCAAGTTGCACTTGAGTTCAGGTATCAGAATCTTTCTCTAAGAGCCTGATGTAGAATGGCAAGTCATCTCTGGACTTGGCATCAAGAAGTACTGAGTTCAGATCCTGACTCAGACTATTAATAGGCATATGATTTTGGACAAGTCATTTTCCCTCAATGGGCCTCAGTTGTAAAATGAGAAGGTTGCAACTGATCACCTTTAAGACTCTTTCCATCTCTAAATTTGTGATTGGATGAACTTCTTTTGCTGCTTTCAAAGACATGTATATTCTTTAGAAATTGCCAGAGAGGCTAAATACCATGACTTTGGAGCTGGAAGGAACTTCTAAAGTCATCTTGTCTAATTCCCCCCATTTGATAGAAGATCAACCTATCAAGTTAAACCACTTGGCCAAAGTCATAGAGGTAATAAAGGTAGAGGGGAGTTTTAAATCAAGGTCCCCTGACTCCCAATCCAGTGCTCTTCCTACCAGGTCTCAATGCTTCTGTAGAAATTGAAATTGACATTTCCCTTTCTAGTCTGTCCCTAATGGAGACAGATGTCCAACCTGTGCTTGAATGTGGGTTCCATGCACAGAACTCTAAGAAGGGTGTACTTTGGTCTACAGCCTTTCTGCTCATGTGCTTCCCATGCCGTACAAAGCCTGGAGCCATGGGATAAGGAGAGATGGTGGTAAGATTGGCATGGCATGCAATTTGATTGCATCCCATTCTGCCCTGACTATAGCCTCATGGCCAAAGGCAGCTTGCCATGGTTGTGGAAGTATGGCAGTATGGCAGCCAGAGAAAGAGAATAAAGTGCATCACAGCTGATTTCAAGGACCCCCTTACTCTTGAGTTTTATCCAGTTCTTGTTGAACTCCTGGGCTTTGGATGGGGATCGTTTCAGGCTCAGATTTCTTAGGAGGTGAGTATTCAGTTTTGCCCCAGGCTCTCCCCAGACTCAAGAATCCCTGAGTTATCTCCATGTTCCTCATTGGTCTATGCAGCAGTTTTAATCCAGGATTTACCATAACTCTCTCAACCATTCTAAATGACTCATCCTCTGGTCATTGCTCCCTTCCAGTCACAGAAAGGTCCTAGAAATCAAAAGTTTGGGGGAGATAATCGAGCTTCCCCAGAAGCCACAAAACTCAGAGGATTTTTTTCTACCCAGATTGTCCTCAGGGATATTTAGAGTTGAACAACAATTAAATTTGCTTACCACAGTGCTTGGCACATAGTAAGTAAGCACTTAATAAACATTTATTGATTGACTGATTATTGCCTGATTTGCTGCCTCTGCCTCTAAAATAGCTGGCACAATCCAGAAAGAGGAGCAAGCACGCTTTTCTTCCTTCCAAACCCAGGCCCTCAGAGTTTGTTTGCACTTGTACCTACCAAGAGCTAAGCTCATAATAATGGCTAAATGCCTTTCATGTGAGGGCCTTACTTTCAGAAACTTTTCCAATAAAACTTCTCAATTTATTCTCAGTTCCAAATGGGAAATATCTTCTTGAGCTTATTTGAGAATGAATCAGCCAAGCAAGCATTTATTATGGATCTGCTGTGTACTCCAGGCACTGGACATACAGAGACAAACCAAACAGTTCCTGTCTTCAAGGACTTTACAGTTTCATGAAGACAATAAGTACATATGTATATTTAAAATACATAGAAAGCACATCCAAGTTGACTTTGAAGGAGATCTGGCAATTGGAGGGAATGGCCAAGAAAGAGATTCTTAGGACAAGGCCTGAAGAAAACCACAGATTACAAGAGGTGGGGGTCAGGGGGAAGAACATTCCAGGCATGGGAGACAGTTCAAAGAAAGGCACAAAAATGGGAGATTGGGTCTTCTGTAAAATAAATAAATAATAATTAAAAAGTAAGCCAGTGTGGCCCGACCATAGAATGAGTAGAGGGAAGTAATGGGTAGGAAGGTCAATAAATCCAGATAAATATAAGTGAGCTCCTGATAAGTGTAGAGCACAGAACTAGGTGGAGTGAGGGGATCACTAAAGAAGGAAGAAAAGCTATCATTGCCCTCAGAGGTCTTTCATTCTGACTGGGCCACTGACTTGTCCCTCTTCCTGTTCTTCTTGCAGCAAATATGCACATTTTTATTGAAAGTTAATGTTTTAAGTGGCATGTGGCACCCCAAGAGGAAGAAAACAAGAGTGCTCTTAGGAGATTAATGACAGAATATATAAAGCCATGAGTGTCCAAGAAAGCTGTTATAATATGAAGCAGTTGGAGGAATGACTGAGATCCCAACTCATTATCTAGGGAGAGAGAGCTAGGTTTAGCAGACAATACCAGAGAGCCAAGAACCCTACTGAGAAAAATAGACACCAAAGCCACATCATGAGCATTCTTATCCAATACACCTGTTGACCACTTAAGTTTTCCTATGCCAAAAGTAAATTACAAATTTGTTATTATTGGTATAGTGAGTCAAAAGCTCATCTGCGCCAACATTTCTTTTTCTTTTTTTTTCTCCTGGTTACCATTGTTGTCAACAATTCTGCTAAAGCAAGAGTTCTTAGCCTCGGGTCTGCAAACATCCAAGTTTGTGATCAGATTTCAGGTGGTTCGTGACTTGGCTGGGGAAAAGATCATATCTTTAATTTTCACAGATCTCTAACTGAATCCTAACATTTTCTCTAGTTATTTAAAAACATGATTCCAGAGGGGGTCCATAGACTTGACCATACTGACAGGACACAATGAGGTTAGTTAGGTAGGGGCCTCTGTGTTAAAGACTCTCTTCTTGTTGTATAAATAACTCTCTGTAATTACTTCTGTAGGCTACAACTAAATCTGAAGACCGGAATGACCCAATCCTCCTCTATAATAAAATGACTCTAGCCCAGATCCAAAACAACTTTTCATTAGAGATTAATGGACAGGTGAGTATTGCTTCTTTTCAAATTTCTTAAACTATTGCTGAAAACAATAATTTCAGGTGAGCTATTTTCTTTAAGAAAAAGCACATTCCTTCCAGAGTAAATGAAACTTGTTGAGCTTCAAAATGGATTTAAGTGACACTAGAGTGTTTTAGCTACATAATTATGTATAAAACCTCATTTGAAGTCATTACTTTTGGTATTAAATTAGTTGAAATTCAGAGGGAGAAAAGTTAACAGGCCAACTATGGGATGATCTGAGAAACCATCCCGGAAAAATCCTAGGACTCAAAGTTCTCAGAGCCTTTCATACATCTAGCTAACCTCAATAGGAGACCACTAGGGGAAGAGCCCAAAAGAATTTTTCATTTTTTTTTAAAGGGCCTTTGCATGCAATGTTATCTGTTCATGAATGAGTTTTCAGATGTCCCTTGTGTCTGGGTAGAAATGTACTTATCTTAGAAATCTCTCTACCCTTCCCAGGGTCTCTAGCCTTTTACAGAGAATGGATTAGAATGGAATGGAGTGGAGTAGAATAGAAGAGATAAAGGAGAGGCAGCACCCTGAATCTGGAGGCCAAGGGCCTGGGGTCAAATCCTAATGCTGCCATTTGGATCTGTGGGACTTTGAAGAAGCACTCTGCTGTGCTGGGCTTTAATTTCCTCAGATGCAAATTGATGAGGTGGGACTAGATGTCCTCTAATGTCCCTTCCAGTTCTAAATACATGGCCAGAATGAAAAAGTAAACGTACACAGGTACGCACAATTTGAAAAGAATGAGAGATGAGAAACCACATCATGAAATTGAGAGATGGTTAGACCCAGAGCTGGAAAGGACTGAGTTCAGGTCCTGCCCCTGATGTGTGCTGGCCATGTGGCCCTGGGCAAATCACTTACATTCCCCAGTATCTTAAACAACTCTCTGAGCAAGTCACTTAAACTGTCTGGTATCCTAGACTACTCTGTAATACTGTGCCTTGCAGAGAAGGTGCTGACCAGCATTATTAAAGGGAGGAAACATGCATAATTTGACTAGCAGGCCAGTCAGCGTCACAAATTAAACTCCTGAAAGTCCATAGACCATTGTCACATTTCTACAGCCAATGTTCTCTACCTCTTTTTCTGATGGATAGATGTTTGTTCTGGTTATTTCTTTCAAAAAAGAATGACAGTGAATCGTCAGCATCAGGAAATGAAGTAGCTCCTAGTTTGTACCTGAGGAAAAGCCACAAAGTCCCCAAAGAAGATTCAGAAGCATCAGCTTTTGAAAAAGTTTTCAACTGCTAGCTTGGAAGCAATCCTCATGTGGGTGCTCACTTGAACTCCATCTTTTCTAACAGCCATCATTCTAGCTTCCACACACAGCTGGAAAGCACTTAGCACAAATTTTCTCCTTCGATATTCACAATCCTGCAAGTCAGGGAGCCATCAGTATTATCCCCACTTTACAGATGAGGAAACAGAGTCTCAAAGGAAGTTAAGTGACATGACCAAAGGAGTAATAATAGCCAGGATCTTTATAGCATGTTAAGGTGTGCTAGGAACTTCATGTCTGGGTTCATCTGTCTCGCAGCTGGGGAATAGGAATGGTGGGCAGAGCCTGAATTCCAACCCAAGCCTTCTCAGGCTTTCTCCACTCCACCCCAGGCTGAATTTTTCTGAGAATAGGCTGTTGGGTTGAATATTCAATCTGAAATGACTAGAGGGATCTGAGATACTTAGCAAAAGTAAACCTCACCTTCAAACTTATGTTCTTAAGTGGACTCATCCTAAAGCTTCACCAAGCTTTTCACAGTCTCCTTTGGCTGATTTCACCAACTCCCTCTGATAAATGAGTAACCAGTCTCCTTTTTCAAGTCCCATAGAGAACAATTCACAATCACAGCAACCAAGTCTATATTCTTAGAATAGAAATGGGAAGAAAGAATCACAGAAGGCATAACATTGGTGGATTAAATCCATGTGTAATACATGTATATGCATGTATGTGCTATTTTTGTGTGTGTATATTTTTTCATATTCACTTTCTTTTAACTACCTTTGTGTGTGATTATGTTCATGACACAATTTATTTTTCTGTTGTAAAATCAGAATCTCATTTCCTCTTGGTGTTGAAACAAGATGTTCCTAAAAATATGTTGTTGACTTTAACTAGACATACATGATCATCAGTATCTCCTTTTTACATAGAAGCATTTTTACAGAAAATATCAGTCCATTTCACTAAACCATAATAGGCTCCATAATTGTTGGGGGGGGAGGTTAAATAATTTTTGGTGTTGGTAGAAACTGGCTACTAATAGTTGAATTTCAGACAAATTTCTGTTTGTGGATTCTCTACTCTTAGAAATAACAAAGTGATCTCTTAATTTGTTTTTTTTTTCTGTCAAAATGTTTATGTCCACAAGCCTCATTTTCATTCTCAGAAAATGTGTTTTTAAAAGACTGTTAGTTCTGGGAGCCAAATCTTAGAAGGATCTTGATAATCAGGAGAGGATCCCGGGGACAGGATCCAGAATAATTAAGAGCCATATGAAGATAGGCTAATACAACTGGGGACATTGAGCCTAGAGGAGAAAAAAAAAATTAGGGTGGGAGAGGGGCTTGATAACTCTTCAAGAATTTGAAGAGCTGTGATCTGAAACAACCATTAGATTTATTCTAATTGGCTCCAGAGAGAAGATATGGGAAAAATGGGTAAAAGGTACAAAAAGGTGAGTTTAGGCATGATGTAAGGAAAAACTTCCTAATGATTATAAGCGTCCTAATGTGGAATGGGCTGCCTTGGGAAGTAGGGGACTCCTCCTCACTGGAGGAATAAAAATTGAATGGCCACTTGTTTCATATGTTTTTTTAAAAATGTTTTTCATTTGTGATTTAGACTAGACGGCCACTGAAATCCTATCCAATCATACCAACCCTGATTCAATTTTAAAAAAAGACATTTATTAAGTGCCTCATGTGTACCTAGTATTTCCCTAGGCTCTGGAGATCCAAAGACAAAAATGTTTAGATCCTTGTCCTCAAGGAACTTATATTCTCCTTGGAGAGGAGGGGATACATGTATGTATATAAGTATATACAAAACGTGCCCAGAATATTTGAATACAATTTAACTTGGGAATCATTTCAAGCCTCAAAATTCTTTGTTGCTTTGATTATATATCCATTCCCAGCCTCTCTCATGATTTCTAGTTCTCTAACACCAACTACCAACTGGACATTTCATACTCTGTGTCCCATAGGCATTTCATATGCAATATGGCCAAAAGAAAATTCAACATTGTTTGTTAAAAAACCCTCCCTTCTTTGGAACTTTATTATTTCTGCAAAAAGCACCATTTCCTTACAGTCATGTGGCTTTGTATCCTAATTGTCATCTTCTTCTCCTTATTCTTACTCCACTTATCTAATCCATTGCTAATTCTTTTCCCTGTCTCCACAATATCTCTTCCATCGCTCCCCTCCTTCATCCTCACAGAGCTATCACTGCTTTGGGCCCTCATCATCTCCCAGTTAGACCATCATAGTAGCCTACTAACTGATCTTACTGCCTCAAATCTCTCCCCTACTCCAATCCATCCTCCACTTTCTTGCCGAAGTGATTTTGTTCAGCTGTCACCATATTAGTCCCCTATTCAATAGACCCTAATGGTTCCCCACTATCTCTAGTGTCAAATAAAAGCTCTTCTGTTTGGCATTTGAAGTCTTTCACAACCTGGCCCCTAGCCAGCTGGTCAGCCTTATTATATATTGTTCCTCTTCCCAAACAATATGATAATTCACCCAAACTATCTTTCTTATTGTTTCTTCTACATGATACTGTATCTCCTATCTGTATGCCTTTGCACCGGCAAAAGTGCAGGTACCCCCATGCCTGAAATATCCTGCCTCCTCACCTCTGCCACCCAGGATCCCTAGTTTCTTTCAAGACTCAGCTCTTGCTCCTCCTTCTACATATAGCATTCTATGACCTCCCCTTCTAGTCAATAGTGCCTAACCACCAAATTTCCATCTATCTGCTTTGTGTGCCTATATACATACAACTTATCTCCCCTTGTATAGATTATACACTACTTGAAAGCATGAACTGTTACACTTTTTTTTTTAGTTCAGTGCCTAGCACAATGCTTGGCACACAGTACATACCTAATAAATGCTGATTGAGTGAATAAGGGAAAAAACTTCTCAGATAAGTATCACCATCATCACCATGGGTTTAGTCCACTAGTGATAAAAGTAGCCTCTGTGTATTTCATCCTAGTATTTCATACTAAAATCTTGGGACCAGGTAGTGAAATTGACAGACTACTAAACACATGATGCCTGTTTTTTTCTAGCCGTTCAACTGGGCAAATTTCACAAATACAATCATGTCAGCTGTGAAAATTAGTGTTGCAAATGAGGAAGATGTGGTTGTGTATGCTCCCGAATATTTAATCAAACTTAAGTCCATTCTTACCAAATATTCTCCCAGGTAGGTGCCCGCCTGTCCTTTGATGAGTCATACTTTAATGTCACTATGCTCTCTAGAAGCCTTGCAGCCTCATCTTTCTTGTTGCCGGGTGGTGGTGTTTTTTTATACAGAGATCTTCAAAATTTAATGTCCTGGCGGCTCATTATGGATCTCGTAAGCAGCCTCAGCCGAACCTACAAGGAGTCAAGAAATGCTTTCCGGAAGGTGAAGAAAAATCTCTCTCTTCTTAAGACTTGAGCTTAAAGAGATCCAAAGTTGGGGACCTTGCTGCGTCCACCACGTGAATGTGGTAAACTTGGCAAGGGGGAAAATATGCCAAGTGCTAGCTGTCCAGCCCACGTTTAAATATGTCGCCTAGGGAGAAAAAAAAAATCCTGTTGCTCTGGGGATAGTCATCCTGCACCGCCTGAAGTGTGGGAAGAAACTGAATGCAAAGCAGTTCATAAGTGCCTGCTCTGTGTCAGGCGCTGTCTAAGGTGCTAGCTAAAAGACCCTCTCGGTATTCAATCATTATCTGAAGGAAGTCTCTTTTATAAGAAAGATGGCGACTTCATTGGTGTCACTGCTAGAATTTTAATCAACAAGGTAATTGACTTCCACGTCAAGAGTGTGTAATGTAAAGAAAATGCAGAGACATGTGATCATACTATAGCCTCATCAGATACAGAGTTAGAGGCAGCCTTAGTTATTCTTCTAGAGCAGAGGCTTTCACCCTAGGACCCATGAACTTAAAAAAAAATTTCCTTTATAAGCCTATATACTTTACTCAATGAATTTAAATAAATTGTTCTGAGAAGGGGTCTATAGGGTTTTCTAGAGTGCCAAAGGGGTGTATGCTGCAAAAAAAAAGTGTTCAGAACCCTGGATTTAGACCAACCCTCTCATTTTACATATGTGTCCTGGAAGTTCATAGTATCCTAGGTCTAGAATTGGGACCAGCATCTTTGGTTTCTAGATGAGGAAAGAAAGGGCCAGAAACTTTAAATAATTCACTAAAGAACATGAAGGTAACCAAGGTTTTCTGTCTTCAAAGCAGATGCTCTATTACATCACGCTGCCTCTTTGAAATTATCTGTCCAAAGTCATGGAGGTAGGAAGTAACAGAGCTGGGATTCAAACCCGGATCCTCTAACTCCAAATTCAAGGTTCTTACCGTGGAGTACTAGAATGTCAGGGCTAGAGCCTTTTGAGATCATAATGAATGTGTCATACCTACTTTCTAATAACAAAGACTTTTCAGATGTCTATGTAAATGAACAATGTAATAATAATAATAATAATAAGAGCATCTGTTATAGTGCTTTAAAGTTGCAAAGTGCTTTATAGATAGTCTCTCATCTGATCATTATAACGACCCTTCGAGTCGATGCCATTATTACCATCATGTTACAAATAAGAAAACTCAGTGACTTCCCCAGAGTTACTCACTTGGTAAGTGTCTGAGGCAAGATTTGAACCCAGACCTTCCTGGATTCTAGTCCAGAACTTTACCTACTAAACTATCTAGCCCTGGAAAACCCATCAACATCACTTGTGCCTGAAGAAAACCTAAAAGGCATACCTTGAAACATATTTAAAACAACAGTCATTCAGAGAGTACCATAGGGAAAGTGAAGTTCTGCGGAGAAGAGGAATTATTTCATTCATCAAGTTGTTTAGCTTTCAGCTATTTGCTAAGTGCCATGGAAATTCCTTAACATCAGGAAATTCTCAAACAGGACAGTCTCAATACTGTAATTTCTTGTACTTAGTGAAATCCTTTTGTTGGTACTTGAATGGACACCTACTTAATGCTTCTAGCCGTGAGAATTTAAACTGAAATATTTCAAGGCAGGAATGTTTTTCTGTTTATGGGACAGTGACCTGAAAGCCTACCCTTCTCATAGATGGAATAATGTATGTACATCTGTTGAGCATTAATCTTCATTTATATTGACAACATAGATGATGACCAAGTAGTATATTCCACATCAGCCCTGAAAAAAATATTAACATGTAGCTACAACAGAGGATTTTAAGGAGGCATTTGAACAATGGTCCAGATTTCTTTAAAAATCATTTAGATAAGTAATTTAATCGAATGGTATTTTTCTCTGCATTAGGAACTTGTCCCCACTGAGAGGTCTCTGAATAGGACTTAAAGACCTTCGAGTCTCTCCTGGGATTTAGAGATTTTTGAAAGCATAGAATTTCACAAAGTTTTAACTTGAAGCCCTGGACTCCTAGGCAAATCACCACAAATTCTGTTTTGTATTTCCCCTCAACAGGCTCTTTATGGCACAACATCTGAAACAGCCACTTGGCGACGTTGTGCCAATTATGTCAACGTGAACATGGAAAATGCCGTTGGACGACTTTATGTAAAAGCAGCATTTGCTGGCAACAGTAAACACATGGTAATGTTTTTGGCACAATTAACTCTGTTATTTATTTGTACTTAGCAATATAAGGCAGTAGTCAGAAATTTAGTTAAGCATTTTATTTATAGAGTATGAAGTCTGTAATTTTTGCTTTGTTCTCCCTATAAGTCTCATCCTTACTAGGTCCTTTTTTTTTTTAATCAACATAAAGCCCATGTAACTTTTGGGTTTTTCAATTCCTAATGCTTTTGAAAAGCATTTAAAACATGAAAAATTTATCAGGAGGCATGAATTACATAAAGAAAAAGTAGATAGTATTTCAGCCTCACCTGGTCATGTCTTTATAACTTTAAGGTGGCAGTGTTTGAAAGAATAGCACAACCAAAGAGATTCAGCCCCCATAGCACCCTTGGTTTTTTCAGGAAGCTGACAACCTGTCAGAAGCCGTCAACATGCCTCATTCAATTAAAGTATCTTCCAGGCTAATTCAAAATAGCTCCAGGATTCCGTCTGCATAAAGGCATGTGTGTGAATTACTTGGGACAAATTAAAATAAAACAATAAATATATCTATTTTTAATGATTTGAATTTTTTGATATTTTTACAATAAGCCTTACTTTGTTATATCTTTACAAAACATTTTGAATGTGTAATATATCTGCCTTTTGCTACATTCACTTGTTTTACGTAATTTGGCATTTAATTTCCAAGGATGTTAATATATGTATCCTGGATTCTTCATCAAAAAACCACACTTTATTACTTTGGATATTAAGCATAACTTTGACAAAGTTATTTTTTTTCTAAGTCTAGCCCATAAGTTTTCAATGAGGATTAAATTAAGATAGATCTCATTGAAGTATTTTATCTCTGTCTCTTGGGTAAACTTTAACTTTTTGTGATGTGAAATGTGGTACGAGATTGTATTGCAGTATTTTAGCACAATTTGGTAATTTCTGTCATTCTCCCTCAATATGTTAACATGTTTATCAGAAGTCATCATTCCCTCAATGGAGAAAAGATTTCTAGGCTGACTAAAAGAAGGAAAAACAAAAAGCAAAAAGAAAACATTTTTCTGGGTGGATGTTTAAAGTGTGATGAACATACCTGACAAGCTTACCTTCACTCCTAGAGTAGCAGGAGCTCCTGCATGCTCCAAGTCAGTTGCATCAGTAAGAAATACTGTTTTCAAATCTTCAGTACCCTAGCTTTTATATTTGGCGGCTAGGTGGCAGAGTGGATAAGAGCACCAGGCCTAGAGTTCAAAGACCTAAGTTGAAATATGGCCTCAGACACTAACTAGCTGTGTGACCCTGGGCAAGTCATTTTAGGCTATTTGCCTCAGTTTTCTCATCTGTAAAATGAGCTGGAGAAAAAAATGGCAATCTCCAAATGGGGTCACAAAGAGTTTGACATGACTGAAATATCTGTACAATAACAACTCATGACTGGTGTTTTTTTCTTCATGGCATTTTTTTTTTTACTGATTTTCCCCCTTTTGTTCGAACTTCAGGAATCAATAATAGCCCTTCTGGTTGCCACATCACTCTGACCATCTTTGCTATTTTCTAAGACTGTTTTTCAGCAATAATATGACACTTTGGCTTACAGAATAATAGATCTAGAGCTGGAAATGACCTCAGAGGCCATCTTGTTCACTTACATCATTTTACAAATGAAAGAGCTGAGGTCCAGGGAAATTCAATTACTTGCCCACGGTCAGCTTTTAGCAGGTTTTTGTTTGTTCGTTTGTTTGTTTTCAAGCATTTTCTTTTGCACAATCATTGAAGCATGCTGTGGGTGTTCCCTTCACTGATGCTGATGAAATCACCCCACCCCTCAGAAAATAAAGAAACAAAAGTTTGAAGCACACTGTCATCCACAGTCCTGAGGAAAGCACAATTTTACCTCTGGGCAACTGCCCTAGTTCTAGTAGAAACTGCAATAAATTGCCTTGCAAATGGAGATTTTCGTTTTCCCTCTTTCTTTAGATAGCATTAGTCTGCTGCAAAGTTAAGCACTGAGTCACTATGTTGTAACTGAATTACTGAGCTCCTGACTCTGGGAGCCTGGGAAGCTCTTTAAACAATGAACTGACCCTCTTCCTTTGCCTTGCTTTCGGTTTGTTTCAGGTGGAAGATCTGATCTCACAGATTCGGGAAGTTTTCATTGAGACTTTAGATGACCTCACTTGGATGGATGCTGAGACTAAAAAGAAAGCTGAAGATAAGGTAGAGACAAAATCAGGCCTTTCCTACCAGAGGAGGGAGTGCTTTCATGGGGGTTGGGGGAAGGGGCATAAAGGAAGAAGAAAAGTATCAGAATCAGGGATCAGAGCATGAAAAATAAGCATTCCTGCAAATGCTAGCCTGAAATACATGCTCCTTCATAGTGCTTTTCCTATGGGCCTCATACTTTTTAGTGAAACTGTTGTACAGTCATAGACTATTCCAAGGGTTCATCTTTAAACTTGTCATATGCTTATTTCTACTCAATGTAAGTAAGAGACAGGAAAGGCACATTTATATAAATCGAAGCTAAGAATGTGAAGAGCATTGAGCTGATCACAATTGTTTTGGTCCCTGGCAAGCCATCTAGAAAGTTCAATCCATGCACACAGCTTGGATGTTCTATGTTAATACCCAACTGGACTGCAAAACTCCAATGAGAAATTGAAAGGGCATGTGCAAATGAGCCTTGTGTTATGTCTTAGCAATTTTTCTAATTTTTAAAAATATGAAATGCATGGTTATAAATCACATCAATTCTCTGGGCCTTAGTTTCTTCACCAGTAAAATGAGTATATCAGGGAGGAAAGTGATTTGTAAGCTTTAAAGCATGGCATGCATCAGCTATTGCTGATGATTGTAGCTATTGTTATTATTATGTTGTATATATACTGTATTGAGAGAAAACCTGGCAGTGTAGAGGACTAACTTTGTTTGGGTCCTCCCCCATGGGATCACAGAAACGTAGATATAAAGCTTAGTTACTCCAACCCTTTTACCCTACAGATGAGGAAACTGAGGCCCAGGGAGTTTAAGTGATTTGCCCAAGGTTGGACAGGTAATGAGCCCCAGAGGTAGGATTTGAACCCAGATCTTCTAACTCTTCAACACGTTCATTTCCACTATATTGCATTGCCTCTCTGAGGCAGTTAGGTGGTGTTATAGTGGATAGAGCACCAAACCTAGAGTCAGGAAGACCTGAGTGCAACTCTGACCTCAGATACTTACTAGCTGTATGACCTGGACATTTAACCCTGTTTGCCTCAGTTTCCTCATCTGTAAAATGAGCTAGAGAAAGAAATGGCAACCACTCCAGTATCTTTGGCAAGAAAACCAGATGGAGTCAGGAAGAGTCAGATACAGCGGAAAAATGATAGACTGGCCATCCTTTTTCTCCTAGTGCAGCTCCCTCATTTTACATGTGAGAAAACGGAGCTCTAGAGGGGTTAGATTTGCCCCAGGGCAAGAGTTAAGATGTGAGCTTGGGTCCTATAATGATGAACCTGTCACTCTTTCTGCCATACCGTGTCACCTCCTAACTTCTCAGGATCTAAGGAAACTTTCTGAGCCCACAAGTTATAGAGAAATTGCCAGTCTTCACTGGTGGAGGGAGCTTTCACACTAGGAATTCTTTACATTGATGAAACCATACGTCTGAACCATGTAGTAATCATTCATTGCATCAAAAAGCATTTATTAAGTGCCTGCTATTTGTCAGTCACTATTCTAGGCACTGAGGCCACGAATGAAAAAGTGAAACAAACCCTGCCTGCCCTTAAGGAGTTTACATATATGTGTATATATGTTGTTGACTATGACTGTATTTACACACACACATATATTCATGCATACGACACACACACATATATTCATGCATACGACATGTGTCTGTATATTATACAATATGTGTATATATAGTATACTTAACTATGTGCATTATAAACATATATACATTATATATACAAAATAAAAACAAATATATGTGATAATATGTATATATGTATGGTATGCATTATGTATATGTATTGTATACTTAACTATGGACATATTTCTAAATATAAGTATACATTGTATACAGAAGATATATGCATATATATGATACATGTGTATAAATATTGTATCACCTATACTTGTAGAATTGGATAAGGAGACTTTGGATTCCACAAACACATAGTCGGTTTGCCTAAGAGTAATTCACCATAAATGAATGAGACCCATTTGAAAGTAGCTTTGACTCCTTCAGACCAATTTTCTGAGTAGTAAGTTAACCATGTCGCTATCACCTGGTGATCTCTATTATGTCCCCTTGGATTGGGACATTTTGGGGTAAGATTAATAAATTAGAGTTAATGTTGATAAGAAGTAGTTTCAATTGGCCTAATCTGTATCAAAGATCAATTCTATTTTAAATTATGAAGAATGCCAAACTAGTGGTATTTCCTTGTGTGACCCAAGAGAGAAGGAAAATGCTTTAGAAATAACTGGCCTGGATTTCAGCAAAGCTTGATTATGTCTCTCATGTTCTTGTAAACAAGATAGAGAAATGTAGGCTTGGACTTTGTATAATGGCCATGCCCAAAGAGTTTGCTTTTTGGTTTCATTCATTCATGGTGTGCTGCCACTCTGGAAGGAGGTCTACAGTGCAGGGTCTTTGATGCAATAAGCTTTTAGTGCCCAGACTGAGAACACATCCAAAGGGGCATCTGAGTGATGAGGTCATCTCTACAGAGTCAATCTTGAGCTGTGGCAGTCTCTTAACTCTCAAGAGCAGGTTCTCAACAACAGGCACAGGACAGAACGGACTGGCCCATTTGATCTCATTCCTACATGTTGTGTCATTTCCCAACTCGATGTCTCCTGTCTAGCTGTCCCTCCTCCCCTTTGCCTATTAGAATCTTCAAGACTCAGATCAAGCACAGGAGGCTTTTACCCAGTCTCTGCAGCTATTAGAGCCTTTCCTTTGAGGTTACCTTCAATCTACTCTGCAGTTTTTATGTACTTAACTTATTTTCCACTTGTCTCTCCCAATAGAATATAAGCTCCCTGAGGGCAGGCACTGTTGTTGCCTTTCTTTGTATCCTTAGCACTTAGCACAATGCCTGATATATTTGGTTGCTTGGTCATTTTTCAGTCATGTCCAACTCCTCGTGACCCCATAGGGGTTTTCTTGGCAAAAATAGAAGAGTGGTTTGCCATTTCCTTCTTCAGCTCATTTTACAGATGAGGAAACTGAGGAAAACAGGATGAAGTGAGTTGCCCAGGGTCACACAGATAGTAAGTGTCAAAGGCAGGATTTGAACTGACTTCCTGACTCCAAGCCCAGCATTCTATCCACTGTGCCACCTAGCTGCCCACCTGGTACATAGTAGGCACTGCTGAGTGCTTGTGGACTGACTGATGGTACACTGTAGCCTTGATAGTGGCAAACCACGTGTTTGAAATACCTGTCATGGAGACAGACAGTCAGACATTGCGACTCCTAGTCGAGGGTGGACCAAAGGTTGTATGAAAAGGAGCTTTCTGTGAGCCAGGCAACAGCAATCCCCATCATCACTCTGTCCACTTTCTCTGCTGTCCAGTGTAGATGGGCACACTTCCTCATCCTACCAGTAGGAAGCAGCTCAGCTTCCCATAATACAGGTTCTCCCACCTGCCAGGTTGTCACCTCTCCATGCAAATTCTGTGTGCTCCCCACAATTGTTTTTGATAAAAGGGGCAAACCCACTGAGGGAAGGGTGCCATTCTATGCTCCAAACCTTGTGCAATTTATAGTCTGCCATGCACAGCAAAGAGAACCCATCCCCCAACATGGCCACATTGTGACAATTTACTGCAACATTACCATAGTCCTCTTCATTTACACTGACAAAGTCACTTCCTTAACTGTTCGGAAGCCTCACTCTTTTCGGGATCAAAGGCAACAAAGGGAATTAAATTTAAAAAGTGCGAATGAATAGTCGCATTTATATTATAGAAACTTCTTGTGAGAATTCATTCCACATGTGGAAGTTTTTAGGTCAGGGTGGCAGTAACCTGTCACCGGGAGGGAGCATAGGAATGGCATGTATTTAATATGTAGGCAAGGTGAGCCGGCAAATGTACTGAAGGACCATTCATCTTTCCCATTCGGTGTAACAATGGTATTCCCCTGACCTTGAAGGGCCTGAGGCCCCATAATCTACAATGATTGTCTTGAAAAATTACAGTTGATGACATAAACCTGCAAAGTCGGTATGGAGCCCTGAACATTGCCCCAAGAGCATCTGTCCTAAGCCTGCAAACACTTGCTGTTTTCTCAACCAGATTAATGTAGTGGAAAGATGATTGCGGGAGGCTGCAATGGCAGCCCAGGCCATCAGCCCTCACATAATATATAAGTGAGAACTTTTCTTTAGAAAAACAATTTCATAAAAGGCAGACACATGCAGACAGTGGTGCCTTGTCAATTTTCATTTAGGGTAAGTTTCTTGGGAATGCTGTGCCAAATGAGAAAGGCCCTGTCAAAATCAAGCACTGGCCTTGTTTTAGCAACCTTTGGACTTTTTGGAAAATGAGATTTTTCAGTGTACCCTGGGGGCCTACTGTTGACAAAGTCCTTCTTACTTGAGGGAAGTAGGTATCAAGAGGTTTGGAGTTTTTTTTGTTTGTTTGTTTGTTTGCAAATGAAATTTTTAGGTTCTTTGTGAAATGTGATTTTCATTTCAGATTTTTCCAGTCAATTTCCAAATCCAATCTTCTCATTTTTATAGGCCATGGCAATCAGGGAAAGGATTGGCTATCCTGATGACATCATTACAAATGATGAGAAACTGAACAAAGAGTACAGTGAGGTAAGTCTGTAAGGAAATGGGGCAAATGATGCTCAGGGCTGGTTGAACTGCATTTACTGCAGGATCGTGGGGTGTATTGGCATCATACACATTATATGTTGAATCGTTATATTTTAAATATGTTGTCTTCCTGTCCTGGACACATTGGCTTTGTGAGTCTGATCATCTGACTTCTTAGGGCCCCAAGAAGGTGCCAGACAGTGTCCTGAGCTGCATTCTTAAAGGGGCTCTCCTCATTGATTCTCCCTAGACCAATGAAATCACAGGTCTATACAATAAGTTTTAAAAAATTATGTTTAATTCAAGTCAACAAACATTTAGCAAGCATTTACATCTAGTAAGAAGGAAACGGGGGCAGCTAGGTGGTGACGTGGATAGAGCACCAGCCCTGGATTTAGAAGGACCTGAGTTCAAATCCGGTCTCAGACATAATACTTACTAGCTGTGTGACCCTGGTCAAGTCACTTAACCCCACTGCCTCGCCAAAAAAAAAAAAGAAGAAGAAAAAGAAGGAAATGGCAGAGCACTCCAGTATCATTGCCAAGAAAACCCCAAATGGGGTCACAAAGAGTCAGATATGACTGAAACAACCGAACAACAATGCTGTGACCTAGGCACTATACTAAGGTCAAATGATACAGAGACAAAAAGGAAACCATTCTGATTTCTACAAGTTTATATTCTCCCAGAAATATAGACAGCAGGGTTGAGGGAAAAGGGAGGGGAGAAGAAGAGAAAGAGAGACAGAGAGAGAGAGAAAGAATGAGAATAGTAACAATTTGGGAGAGATCAAGGAAAGAAGGCATCTAAGAGATAGATGTGTTTTACCTGATCAGAGCCTTGAAGAATCCTGAATCAGAGGTGTGGAGGCCATGTATTCCAGGAAGGGCTGGGTGAAGGTGGACAGCCTGTGCGAATAGACAGAAATTGTTGGGAGAAATATGAGATTGGGTACTGCAGAATGACTAAAGCCTAGACTGTGTCCTAGGAATTAGTGTGAGAAAAGGCTCTAGAGGCCCTGGATTGTGGAATAGATCAAATGTTAAGCTGGGACATTTGCATTTTATTTTAGGGGCAATAGGGAGCCATTTGAATAAGACAGTGGCATGGTCAGACTTATTCCTCTAGATCATTTTGGCAGCTCTGTGAACATAGATCAGAGGGGTAAGTAGAGCAGGAAGACCGATTACAGCAGTCAGGACAGGGGTGATGAAGAGCTGAATTAGGGCTGTGACCAAAGGAAAGAGAGCATTAACCAGACTCATATTTTGAAACTAAAGACACCTAGTTGCGCACTGTGTCTGTGAAAGTCTTTTTCATTGCTTCAGGCTGGGATCCTACTGCCAGGGTTCTAGCCCCAGTTGTGCTTAAAATTATTTTAGCATCTAAGCTGATCAGTAGCTGAAGAATACTCAGAGGAAGAGAGGGGTGTTTGAAAGAGCTGAGAAGTTCCAGGTCAGGAGCAGGGAGTTTTGCACCATGTGTGGCCCTCGCGCTCATGGCCATCCATGCCTAAGGCCCCTAGGATCCCTTCCTTCCCTGTCTTCTCCTTCAGATGGCGGATGTCAGGGTGTATTACTTACTCTTCCAAATACCACATTTTCATAGCTCATTTCCTCTCCCGCAAACATCCCATTTCCCAAGGCTCCTCTCATCTTTTGAGGTTATTTTTTAGGTTCTGCCTTCAATAGAGTTACATGTGCACATGTGCGCACACACACACACACACACACACACACACACACGCACACACACCATTCCCCACCTAATGAAGATGAATGAAAACTTTTTGGCTCCACAGGGAATTCAACAAGCTTCAGAGGGTTGTAGACAGATATGTAGAGCCTCAGCCTAAAATGTCCACTCTTCCATAACACCGAAGCCCAAAATGAGACAGCAAAGAATCCAGAGTAGGAGTTCTGGTCAATTGTGAACAAAATTCCCAATCCTAGGGTGAAAACATCTAAAAGTGAAATCAAGCCAGTCTGCACACTCACACTTAAACAGCTAAAATAAATTTCTGATCAGTGATTTTACTTTTTCCTTTTTTTTTTTGAAAGGGAGAGAGAGAAAATAAATAAATGTTTCAATGCTCATTTGTTGAAAAATAAAATAATGAAATTTAAAAACAAACACAAAATTAAGGACTAGCATGCTTGGGTCCTGGTTGGCTTTTCTAATGCAATTCAATTCAAAATCATTAATTAAATGCCCATTATAGGACTGAACTATGCTGGGAGCTGAGGGTACAAAGACAAAGAATGAAACCTTTCCTGCCCTCAAGGAGTTTAAGGTCTTATCATCTAGGAAAGTTTCCTCTGCCTGTCTCTCTCCCCTCCCCTCCTCTCTTTCTCTTTCCTCTTTCCCTCTCCTTTTCTCTCTTTGCTCTTTCTTTGTCTCCTTTTCTCTATTTCTCTCCTCTTTTTTCTCTCCTCTCTCTCTCTCTCTCTCTCTCTCTCTCTCTCTCTCTCTCTCTCTCTCTCTTCCCTCCCCCCCAATCATTTGCATGTTTGATGGCTAAGTTAACAAGAGAGAAAAGAAAGGAAAAGGAAAGATGGGAGGAGGTGAAGGGTGGTCCTCTTCACCTCCCTGGCCAGAACTCAGACCTTTCTTCCGATGTAGTCACCTTTACTCTTGCTGTGACTGGCCACCCCAAAGTGAGTCTCACCCCAGAGTCAGAGGAACAGCCTGCTGTCCTGAAGGCTTTTCCATCTCAGCTTACCATTCCACATCCTTGACTCAAAATTATTAAGGTCTGTAAAAGCCCAGAGCCAGTTCTATGTCCTTATGGTACCTTTTAACTTTCTCATTGCCAATGCCTAGAGAATATTTTTAGAGGCAGCTAGGTGGCACCATAATGCACAGAGCACCAGGCCTGGAGTCAGGAAGACTCATCTTTGTGAGTTCAAATGTGGCCTCAGACACTTACTAGCTGTGTGACCCTGTGTTTCACTCTGTTGGCCTCAGTTTCCTCATCTGGAAAATGAGCTGAAGAAGGAAATGGCTAACCACTTCAATATCTTTGCCAAGAAAACCGCAAATGGGTTCATGGAAAGTCAGACATGACTGACAACAAGAACAGGATATTTTTACTGAAAGGATCTTTATAATGGTGTATTGAAACTGATCTAGCCATGTAAATGAGAGTATTGGGTCCTTCATCTATTTCTGCTTGGACATGCATTTGGTCTTTTGGAAACAATTAAGGTTATTACTCCTTAGTTTCTTTGCTAGAAGAGACAAACCCAAAAATCTCTTTTAGTTCAGTTAGAAACAGGATTTATAACTTTTAAACTGGTCACAGTAGAAAATACCATTTGCCAACCATGGAGGACAGATATTTCCTTGTAAATGAGTTGTTTCTGTTTTGTTTTTTGATGGGCAGATGGTAGGGAAGGTGGAGTTTGCAGGGTCATGGTAGCACTCAGTTTGGGGTGGTAGGAAAGCAGAATGAAGGAAATACAAGAACCACTTGTTTCAGCCAAAACCCAAATACTGGAGAGAACTTCAAAGCATTAAAAGAATGCAAAGAACAGTTTGACCTTACTGTGTATACTGAGGGCAGTATCATTATTATGGAAATACATTTTGCACAGCAAAAGTAGGATTTTAGGCCAACTTTCCATATCCTACATAACACACTAAAACATAGTATATGGGAATTAATTTGAATGATATATGGTGGCAAAACAGGTTTAAAGCATGCATTGAAGATGGACTTTTTTTTTACAGTGGGTATAACATCTATATGCAAAGAAATACTTTAGATCATTCAAAGTTATTAGGATTGGGGACAAGATCAGCCATGTCTTGTTGAGGTGGAATGGTCTCTTTGAGCTCTCACTACTTTGCTAATGAATGAGCCTTGGTTTAGGTGACCTCTGAGGTCCCTCCTACCTCCAAGTCTGTGAACTTCTACACCTGAAAATTCCTCAAGGCCATGGTCACCATCTTGAACATCTCACAGATATCTCCTAGTACATTTCATTGTTTGGTTCCCACAGCTCTCACTGCTGTAAGTATGTTGATATTTCAGTTGGGTTGAATTATCCTTAAAGTGTTTAGCAGGATGGATGAGCCCGTTTGGAAATGAACTGCTCTACCTAGAAATGAGAGTGTCATCGCACACGATCTATGAACTACACTCACAACATTTAAAACATAAACAAAAATTATGGCATAGTAGAATCTCTCTGATATTTGTGTACGTTTAACTAATTGCGTAATTATGGAATTAATGAATCTCAATCAATTTTCCCATTACTCTCAATCATTTTCTCTGCCTTTCCGCCCAGAAATACGCTTCCCACATCACTCACTACTCTCCTAGATGAATTATCTTCCCTTTCAGAGTGTAAGTTCTTCTAGGTCTCGATTGATTGTATGTGTATTCCTAGTACTTAGAGCAGTGCCTGGCACACAGTAAGCACTTAATAAATGTTTTTTCTTTATTCTGTCATTCACTCATATAATCAATCAATGATTCTTCTGTGACAAGTACATGTGACTTAGCTGTGTGACTTGGACAAAATCAAGTCCTACTTTGGTCATTTTAAATAAAAATTTAATAAGTTTATTGGCAATTCATAGAATTTGAGAAGACATCCCCTCTTTCCTAGTGATGCTTATATGACTTGATAATATAGCAAGATACCTAAAAGCAAGGTATTACTGTTGTATTTCTAACCAAAAGCAATATTTTCTTTAATTTATTTAGTTGAATTACAAAGAGGATGAATACTTTGAGAATATCTTGAAAAACCTGATGTTTAGCCAAAATAAACAGCTAAAGAAGCTCCGAGAAAAAGTGGACAAGGAAGAGTATGTATATCCACGTTTGTACGTTTTCTTTGTTCCTCATTCTGGATTGTTCTTAATGACTTTTGTGTGTGCATGCCTTACGTCCTCACATCTGTGCCTTCTCGGTGAGATGTCCCTTGTAACAAAGAATGGAAAAAAAGAAGCTCTGCTGAAAGACCCAAGTCTAGCCTTTGTTTGGTTAAGAATCCCCCCCTGTTCCATGCCAAGAGGCCAACACCTCTTCAAAGAAGGGCAAGAAGCCCTGAGAAGGTCCCTAGTTTTCTCCTGAGCCGGCTGGCCACTAGAAGGACAGGGCATTCAGTCTGGTTTTTTTGGTTTTCTCCACTTATATTGTTGTAGTCATTGTTTACATATACGTGTGTGTATTCATCTGTGTGTATATACACATACACACATGTATATGTGTTTGTGTGTGTGTGTGCATCCAGCCTCATAAACTTACTAGCTGGATAATCCTCAGCAAGTTACTTAAACCTCTGTCTGCCTCAGTTTCCTCAAGTGTAAACTAAGAATCAGAATAGCACATACATCCTAGAGTTGTTGTGAATATCAAATGAGATAATAATTGTAAAATACTTAACACAATGTTTGGCACATAAAAAGCCCTTCATAAATATTAGCTATCATTATCAGTATCATTATTATTCTAGATTGCTTTCATGAATAGCCAAGCAAATTCAGAATTCTAACAACTTTCTATTGTACCTTTCTTTTCCCCAGCCCCTCTTAGACAGACCAATTTCATCTTTTGTCACATATAACCAACTCTCATGTGTAAGGTGAGACCTCAGAGTTGTTTTGATTTGTGTGGTTGTTCAGTCATTTCCAATTCTTCATGACCTCATTTGGGGTTTTCTTGGCAAAGATACTACAGTGGTTTGCCATTTCTTTCTCCAGCTCATTTTACAGATGAAGAAACTAAGGCAAATGGAGTTAAGTGACTTGCCCAGGGTCACATAGCTATTAAGTGTCTGTGGCAGGATTTGAACTCAGGAAGATAAGTTCCTGCCTCCAGACCCAGCACTCTATCTACTGTGCTACCTAGCCACCCACAGACTAGGAGGGACCTAAGAGATCGTCTGATCCGATGCTAATTAATTAGCAAGGTAGTGAGAGGTCTGAGTTTTATCTTTTTCTTAATATTAAGGATTCAGAATAATCATTCAGTCATTAATATTTAATAATTCTCTTTATGAAAACTGTTAATGCCCTTTGATTACTAAGACTATTGATAAAAGTCTCTTGCTCTTATAAATGTGTATTAATTCCCTATATATCTTAGGTATCAGACACTTAGCAGAAGTATTTGAAGCAAAGATTTCTCCCCTACCCCGTTTTCAGCTTCCCTTCTTATGTTAGCTGCATTGATTTTGTATACACAAACATTTTTTCAATTTCATATTATTGAAATTATCTGTTTTATCTTCTGTAATCTCCTCTACCTTTTATTTAGTTAAGAATTCTCCCCTAGTCAAAATTGTGATACTCTTCTAATTATTCTATGGTATAAACTTGAATAATCAGGTCATGTCATCATTTTGAGCTTATTGTTTTGTGTAGTAAAGATATTGAGCTAACTCTAATTTCTATCAAACAGATTTCCAGAAGTTGTTAGAAAGGGTGTTCTTCCCCCAGGTACATTGACATTTACAAGCCATTCATGTAACATTGTATTTCGTTGTAATATTTTGTTCACTTTCTCTCTGCTGAAGTGAAATGTGCCATACAACTCAGTAAAGTCACAACGACCCCAGTACACTCACTGACCTTTAGGACTAGGCAGCTCTTTATGGTCATACCTTTGCTCTAAGAACTTGCCTCTATTTCAGCATGCATAACTGAAGACCTCCACGCTATGTCATTTCTTCATTCTCTCATTTCTTCCTTCATCCCTGCCTGATCCCTCACCTTCTCTCAGATAGGCTGATCTAGTGCCTCTTTGGTCCAATCTACTGATCACTTTCTTACTGCTCTCATCTGGTTGGAATTTCACGCGTGATCTTTGACCTCCCTACAATCATTCACTGGGGTCTCAAAAATCCATTGCTTTCATGAATTAGAAACATAGATTTAAAGCATGTTAAAAGGTAGTCAGTACAGAGGCAATACTTCCCCCAAACACACCCATTGCCTATTAGCTAGCACATTGGATGCGGAGTCACGAAGCACCAGGTTCAAATCCCATCTCAAATGAACACTCTGACCTGGGCAAGTCACTTAATCTGCGTGACCTTCATGTAAAATGGGGTTACTAATGAGACCTACCTAACAGTGTTACTGAAGTAATGTGTTAGAGTATTTATATGAAGGTCAACTGTTAACTATAATTTTAAGACTCCAGAAATTCTCCTTCATCCATTTATGCTCAAATGAACTTCTCCTTTATTTGCAAATAATAAGTAGTTCATTGAGCTAGTGGTGAGAGGTGGTCTGGTGAAGTAGAAGGTGGAGGAGGGAGCACAAGCATTTGTTAAAGTCTTAAAGGTACCAGGCTCTGTGCTAAGCGAGTTTTTTAAACAAATACCTCATTTGCTCCTCACAACAACACTGGGAGATTGGCGACATTATTACCCTCATTTTACAGATAGGCTACTAAGGCAGTCAGTGGTTGATTCGCACAGGGTCACAGGGTCACACAGCTAGTAAGTATCTGAAGCCTGATTTGAACTTGTCTTCTTGACTCCAGGCTCAGTGCTCTGAACACTGCACTACCAAAGTGCCTTGTAGAAAGAACACTGTGCTCGACCTCAGGAGACTTATGCTCAAATTCTTCCTCAGACATTTAATAGCATGTGTGCTTATGGGCAAGCCAACTGACCTTTCAGATCCTCAGTTTCCTCATCTATAAAATGGGTCTGATAATAAATACATTATCTTTCTCAATGGACAATAGATCTAAAGATGGAAAGTCTGGCTCTCTCCTTTTTTAAAAAAGAAAGAAACTGAGAACCAAGTGATTTGCCCAGGGTCACAGGTAGTAAGCATCAGGAGGTAGGATTTGAATCTGTTCCTCTGAGTCCAGAGGACAGAGATTCCTCCACTGTACCAAGGAAAGAGCTTTGCCAGTCTTTAGGGTCCTTGAAAATTTGAGTAAAGAGCTATCTGCATATATGTAGATAAATTAATTGGCTCATTCGTCTATGTTGTTGCCTGTCTCTTAAGTTCAGGCCCCTGGAGGGTAGGGACAATGCTGCTTTCGCACACCCAGGACAACATCATGCTGAAACAGGCGGCACCATAAATTCTTTTCCGTGATGGCAGTGATGCCCTGTACTCATTACCAGGAGTACACACTGAAACTTGACCTAGGTACCTCCATGGCTTTGCTGACAGATACCCTGGGACAGCAGTAGAGTGTTCTGAGCCCTTGCAGTGCCAAGACGCTTTTAAACCCAGGCTGTCTTCAGGGTGAGGGATGGAGCCAGCAATCACCTGGTCTGAGAGAAGCTGGAACTAATTACACCATTTCTGAGCTAAATGTTGAGAATCCCAGCTGCAGAAAGAGAAAGGTCAGGGGATAAATACACTTAACTCTACAGCTACCACATCCTGCATCTGGAAGCCCTAAAATACTCACTGAAAAGATCATCCTGTCAGTCTGAACAAGAAAATCACCTTGTTATGTAGTGCTTTGTTTTTCCAATTTTTAAAGTGTCTTTCATCCATCAGAACACATTTCATGTCTTTAAAATACTCACGATTTAAATTGAAAAGCTGTGCTACGTAGGTGTCATCAACCAAAGTTGAGATACAGAATAGGGTGTTGGGTAATGGGTTCCCAACCCATCATGGCATTTGATTAGAGGAGGGGAAAGGGCAAGTTAGCTAAGTGCAAGCAATGAAACCTAAAAAGATCTGAAGAAAACAATACCAGGTAATCCATAAAGCTAGAGAAGTCAAGTCAACAATGCTTTAAGAGCTAGTGAGTCATCACAGAATCAAAGAGTTGGCAGAACCTCAGTAACCATCTAGTCCGAGCCAGATGTGAAAGACACCCCAACAGTAACATAGCCAGCAAGTGGTCATCCAGCCACTGCTTGAGGAAATCCAAGGAGAGACTTCTAAGCATCATTTAGCTGCAGGGACTATCAGCAGGTCACTACCTTGCCTCAGTCCAGCTCTGGTGGATCACTTAGTCTGTTGTCTGTGGTGTAGCTGAACCAGTCAGGGAACTGAGAAAATCAGAAAGCTTGCCTATACGCCTATGCTTGACTATGCTTTCTGCTCTTTGGTCAAGGAAGGATGAATCACAAAAAGACACAGAGGAAGATGGAAAAAGCTGTTGTGTTTACACAGTCTCAGGGTGATCAACACTGGATTTCAAAATTATTTCAAACATATTGATGATTGGAGTCTTATGTTCAGGGCATCACATTTTAGGAAGGGCCTCACAGTTTTCATGGTTTGTCCTTCATTCTCAAAGAGAACCATGACGTCAGGAAGATGAAACTGGTGACTGTCCAGATGAGGACACCCAAGATGGTGGAAGGGCTCATGTTCATGCTCCATGAGGGTCAGTTGAAGGAACTGGGGGTGGACCTGAAGAAGAGAAGATTTGGAAAGGGGTTCTTGAGAACTGGCTTTAAGTATTTGAAGAGCTGTCTTCATGAAAGATGGTTTAGACACGTTCTCATTGGTCCTGAGAGACAGAACTAGAAGCAACAGGTAGACATAAAAAGAGGCAAATTTTAGCTTGCTTTCAGGGAAAAAACTTCATGGTAGTTAGAGTTGTCAAACAGCAGGATGGATTTCCCCCACCCCAGGCTTGGGTTGCCCCCCTTGGAGGTCTTCAGGCAAAGTCTAGAAGAGCATTATCCAGTAGCTGATGAGGCCCCTTCCCTCTGGTTTTCAGATCTGTTATATTTACTAGAGAATCACATGCATGTTCTTTATGTGTTAATGACTTGATAGCATCTCTAAACATGCCATTGTTCTGGTACATGAGCTGTGAATTTAAGCTCCTTTTGGAATGAACAGACAGGAGTCACCATGAAGAAAAAATAAACCTGGGCAGCCCT